TTTCCCAGGATCCCAGCCTATCACATGGCATATCACCGGAAAACCCAGGATGTCCTCTTTACAGAACAGCAGGGATTAATAGAGTAGCTCAAAAGTATGAAAGGAAATGCCAAAAATGTCCAGTGTAGAGGACACAAGTTGGGCCTGGTCTCAGTTAGCACTATATCTCAGTTTGGCTTACATGTTGGTTCCAGGGCCGTCTTTAATATTGATTGGACCCTGGGCAAGCATCTGCTTGGGCCCCCTGGGCATGCAATCACTCCCTCCACCCCAACCTAGAGGCGAAACTAATGTAGAGAGTGCCTTGGTGCAAAAAAAATAATAATTCAGGCCTGCCCTGTAGCACAAGAGTAAAGAAAAGATAGATCCCCATCTGTCATACAACTCCTCCGATGCTATGCCAGGTGGGGATCTACCATCCTTGCAGGGTTGTATTTTTGAGCAGTGTTTGTGCAATTGAATGTCAGCATGTTATTGTATAGAGTGTATGTGTGCAAGTAGGGGTGTATTTGTATGTACTGTTACCATTGTAATGCAGTGGTGTACTTGTGTGTAGTGTTTGCGTTTGAATGCAGTAATGTGTGATTGTCTGTAGTGCTGGCTTTTAAATGCAGGTGTACTTTTGTTTGTAGAGTTGGTGTTTGTATATAATTTTAGCGTTTTAATACAGGAATGTGTTTGTGTGTAATGTTTGTATTTGCATGCAGGGGGTTGTTTGGATGTAGTGCTGTGTACATTTGTGTGTAGTATTGGTGTTTCAGCAAACTGGTGTGTTTGTATGTAATGTTTGTGTTTGTAGGGCTCTGTTTGCATGTTGTGTGATTTCTATAACACATATACACATACACATTAACACGCAGATACACACATAGGCACACTGACACATGCTCACACCTTGACACATACTGGCACATACACACACACACAGATACACACCCTTTGACACACAGATACAAGCACTTTGATACACACACACTTGTACATCCACACACGGAGGTACACACACACACTGACACAGGTATGTACACACACACTCAGATACACACATACATAAAGGTATAAATGCAGGGGTGTATATGTGTACAGTGCTAGAGATGGAGTGTATTTGTGTTGGCATTAAAATGCTGGGATGTATGCATTACCACACACTCAGATGCACACTTACACACACTGACACATACCTACACACACACACAAACACACACACAGGTACACATACACACTGACACACAAGTACACATACACACGTATGCATACACACAGAAACACTGACACACAGCCAGATACAAACACTGACACAAACACAGCCAGATACACACACTGACACAAACACAGCCAGATACACACAAGGACATAAACACAGCCAGATACACACACACACATATATGTATACATTTACATATTTTAATCTCTGCCTTCTAGTAGCTCTTGGACAGCAACTCCCAGCAACCTTGGCCATAATAATGTCTCAACTCTGTTCTTACATACCCTGGTCCAGAATTTGGCAAAAGTGACATTTGGAAATGGTGTACAGCCTTTGATAACACTTGATGCAATAATATGTTAAAATAAATACTTTTAAAATTTATATTTAATAGGGAACTGTCAGGTTCTTCTAGGATTTTTAACATGTACTTATTCCCTGTGTGTTACATTACAAACATCAACACACTTAAATAAAAGTGATATCAGAAATTAGCAAAACAAAAAACAAAACATATTTAGCCACCCTCCTGTCTCCTTACCTTTTGGGTACAGAAAGGTGGCTTCCCTGGGGTCCAGTGGGAGCTTGTTGGCCCAGGCTGATGGGAGTCTTTCATCAGCTTTCTCAGTCCCTCTCCCCCACAATGCTTGCATCCTCCTCCATGTGGTGTGTGCCTCCACCCCAGCGGCACTGAGGAGGAAGTGATCAGTTCTTACTGGGAGGAAGCAATCTGACCTCACTTCCTCCCAGCATGCCCAGGAAACAAAGAGACTCACAGGGCAGTATGTGAGGGGGCTAGCTGTGAGTATGTAGTCAGCCACCCCCCATATAACAGGGGCCGGGCCGGTCCAGAGCAGTATTAAAGGGCTGTGGCCCCTGATTACCTCAGGTGCTGCAGGGGGCCCATGGGGCAGCTGCCTTAGGGCCCCCAGGAGTAACTGGGCCCGGGGCAGCTGCCCCTTTTGCCCCTCCTTAAAGACGGCCCTGGTTGGTTCTATTTAGTGCTTCTCTTGGGTGAATTTGACTACGCAGGCTATTAGAGGCTATGGGAATACTTCAAGGTATTTATGTTTACACACCTCTCTATTTTACTTGTAGATACTCTGCAATATTTAGTCATGGTTATTTTCACTAACAGCACACAACTTTTGTTATAAGCAAGCATATATTTTCCTCAGGGTATGCTGATGTCATAGATCCTACCAGACTTGTCTGTACCTCCCACCTGACTTGTCTGTCAGCGAGGTTGCACATAAAGTAAGCAATGACACAGACAGAAACAAATTGTACTTACCTTGTTCACGGCAGATCACTGCCCGATCTCCCTCTGGTCCGGTCTCCAGTGGGTGTGACGCTCAGAGGCGGCTCTCTAATTAGGCGGTTTAGGCAGCCGCCTAAGGCCTCGCGCTGGCTGGGGCCTCGCGGCCGCCTAAACCGCCTTATGGCAGACTGTGTCAGGTCCTCGGTCAGTACTCTGACACCAGGAGGGGGCCCGGCGGCTTGCCCGGTATGCCGCCGGGTGCGAGGCCCCTCCTGGCTGCCCGGCCAGCCACCGCAGACATCGGTCTGCAGCTCCGCAGTGAGCAGAGCTGCAGGCCATGTGTCTCGCGAAAACCGGCCATTCAGAGCATTGCCGCGGGTTACCATGGCGACGATCTGATGGTCTCGCGATATTACATGGTCTGCAGCTCTGTGGAGCTGCAGACCGGAAGCAGTGGCCACCGGTCCACCAGGGAGCCCACTGGACCACCAGGGATGAAGGTAGGTTCTGCTCACCCCCCTCAGCCTCCCCACCCCCCCACCAGCCTCACCACAACCCTCAGCCTTCCCGCCCCACCACCCGCAGCCTTCCCACCACCCTCAGCATCACCCCCCACCACCCTCAGCCTCACCACCACCCTCAGCCTCACAACCCCCACCACCCTCAGCCTCACCACCACCCTACCCTCCAGCCTCCCAACCCCCCACCACCCTCAGCCTCACTACCACCCTCAGCCTCACCACCCCCCCACCATCCCTCAGCCTCACAGCCCTCACCACCCTCGGCATCACCACC